TTTTTTATGTTTTTAGTGTAAAAAAAATACATAATTTGATACTTTAATAATATAATATTAGTGTTCTTTGAAAACTTTTCAAATAACCTCAAATTAACCTCAGATTTTAAAGTTAACAGAATTCAATGTATTTTCACATTTTTATTGATTTATTTTATTTCTAACAAAATATTATTATTTTAAAATATTTTTTCATCAATAATTTTAAGTATGATTTTAGTTTTTATTGAATATTTTTTGATTTTATGTGTGCAATAACTTGATTTTCATTATAAATAAATATGTGACAGGGGCAATGTACTTAGTTATTTTTTCTTCCGAGTTGAAACACATTTTAATTTTTCTTATTATTTACTTTTACATCTTGAAATAATTTACTTCATATTTTTAATTTATTTAATTATTTATATTACATTTCAATTGATTTTATTTTCGATTTTCAAAATATGGAATTTTTTCTCTAATATTTCAGTTTAATTATCTTTTGACATTTCAATTAAATTTTTCTAGAAAATTTATTAATATATTTTTTTGAATTAAAGTTAATATTCAGTATTTTTTGTTTCTGCATACAATATGCTGACTTTTTAATTTTATATAGTAAAAATATAAAAAAGTTTCCTTTCAAAAGTTGAAGTTTTAAGAATTTTTCATTATTTGAACACAAATAACTCCTTTTTTAGAAAAATAAAAAACTCCTGTCCTTGTTTTATTATTTTTATTTATAACCTCTTTTCCATTGTATTAAAATTTGTTGTACGAAAACAAGCTAGTTTTTATATATTTTGCATTTAAAAAATGTTATATAAAAACAGAATTTAAAGGTTAAAATGAAAGTTTTGTAAAACTGAAATTAATTGCATTAAATAAATTTGAAATTAACCATAAAAATTAATTAATATATTCGTTAATTATATAATTAATTTTTGTTTTCTTTAAATATTTTTTTATCAGACAGCAACCTTCATTTTTTAAAATTTCTTGCAATTTATCTTTTAAATTCGTGTTTAATAACATTTTAAAAATGAAATAAAAGTAAAAAATAGCTCGTTCCAAAACGACAGACTTTAATATAATAAAAGAGGAAATATAATTTTGCACAAAGTGGGGATTTTTTTCTTTTTTCGGAAAAGTATTTATCTGTGTTCAAATCCGCGAAAATTCTCAAAAAACCTCAACAATAAATTAACTTTTTTCATATTTTTACAATATAAAATTAAAAAGTCAGCATATTATAAGAGTCATTATCACTATGGTCTGTTATGCGAAAATGACACTTATGCAACGTTTATCAACAAAAACATTTTTTTTTTAAATTTAAATATTACGTCTAAATTAAATATGAACCGCCGGATATTATAACGACACATAAAATTTCGTATTCGTTGGCCCCTGGCATCTTAAAAATCAATTTTTAAAACTAAATTTTTTCAAATTACTATCTTATACCAAATTTCCTGACGCATCTTTTTTCTTTTCATAAATTTTTTTGTATTTGTAACAGTTTTTGAGAAAAAACTAAATTTTTCTTAAAATCACTTTTAATTCAAATTTTCATTTTAATTCGTTATAATATGTAAAGTTCTGAATACTTTTCATACAATTTACAGGATTTATCGATTAAACTATTCTTTCAATGACCCTTAATAATAATTCATTTTTAATTTTAAAAAAATTATTAATTTTTCTGTTGCTCGCAAGGCTTTATATTTTTCAAAAGCTTCGTTTATTTAGGAAATTTTCTCTAAGGATAAACTTCCTTTGAATAAAATGTTTATTGATAATAAAAAAAAATTTTATCAAAATAAAACTTTACAGAAATCTTTATTGTGTATCAATAAACATTTTATTCAGAGGAAATTTGTCTTCAAGAAAAATTCCCTAAAAAAAACAAAGCGTTATAAAAATAAAAAGCCCTATTCTAACACTGAGCAACAAAAGAATTAATAACTTTTTTTCTAATTAAAAAATGAAGAATTATTATTAAGGATCATTTAAAGGATAGTTTAAACTATAACTATTGTATGCAAAAATATTCAGAACTTTTTATTTTAGAACGAATTAAAGTAAAAATTTTAATTAAAGGTGATTTTATTAAAAATTTAGTTTTTTGCTTCTTTCTCAAACAACTGTTACAAATAAACAAAAAAAATTTATGACGAGAAAAAAGATGCGCCACGAAATTTCCTACAAGATAATAATTTGAAAAAATTTATTTTTAAAAATTGATCTTTAAGGTACCAGGGGCCAACGAATAGCGTTGTAGAAATTTTTTTTTTCGTTATAATATCCGGCGGCTCATATTTAACATAGGCGGAATATTTATCTGAAAAATGCTTTAAATATTCCGCCTACAATAAATATATTTAATTAGGCTCAATATACAATTTTAAAAAAAAATTTCGTTGATAAACATTGTGTACTTCAGCTTCGTGAATTGAATTTTTTAATTTGAATATGGAATTTGGTAACACAATTATTCAACTTTGACAAAAATGAAAAAAAGAATTGTCAAAATTTGACACAAATTTGATACGTCATAACATTACCATTAAAAAAAACGTGAAATCAGTAACGAGCAACTTCAAGTTAGGACAGAAGAACAGACCAAGAATTTTATTATTATATAATATTATTCTTTTGTTGTAGTAAATTCAGAAGTAAATTTCAAAGTAAAAACAAAATTTCTAATTTTTCAAAAATATCGATTTTCGTGATTGCTGTAACAATTTATCCATGACTTCTCTAAAAAAATATGTTTTATAGTAAGCAAGATATTTTTTAAAGAGATCATCTGAAATCAAAAAATGAAAAATCTATCTATATTAATAAAATCAGACTTTTGTCTGTACATTGCTCCAAATTAATTTTTTCTTGCATAGTTTATCATTTTAAGTAGTAAAGATAACAAATATGCCATAAATAAAAATTCTGTCTGTCTGTCTGTCTGTCTGTCTGTCGTCAATATTTTGTACCGGCACAACTTTAAAACGGCTCAACCGATTGAGGTGAAACTTGGCAGTGTATTCAGTCTTAACGTAACTTAAAATCTTAGCCATATTTGATTAAAAAATATTAACATGAACGAAAGTTATGACATTTTTTCAAAAAATTTAAAAAAATCAAAAAAATGCAAATTTTTTATTTTTTGTCAGATTGATTTGAAACTATTTGTACCTAATTTTTTCACATAAATGCAATCAATTTTTTTATTAAATTAAGTAAATAGTCTGAATTTAAAAGTCTAAATCAAATTTTTGAATTTCCAATTTTTTTAATAACATTGTAATATAAGAATTCGTTATGTTCAACTTTTTATAAGTAAAACAATAATGTTTTTAGTCTGTTGGGTATTAAACGCAATCTTAGCTGCACACCAATGAAAAATATTAATTTAAACAAAAATATGACACTTTCAAAAAATTTAAAATATTTAACATTTTTTATTTTTTGATAATTCTTTACTAAACGTTCTTTATTTAAAATTTTGTGACCAATTAAGTATGCTTTTAACAAGAAATTTTAAGAATTTTAATTTAAGAATTTTATCAGAATTTTAAAATTAATAATTGCAAATCTGAATATGAAATCAGATATTGTAAAAATAAAAAATCGAAAATTACTTTTTTACTCTTTGAAATTAACAATTATTATATTTAAATTATTATTATTATTATTATAGATACAAATTATTTTTAAATATAATAAAACTAAATAAACTAAATAAACTTAAATATAATATAATAAATATAATAAAATTAAATTATTTTCATTTTATTTAAAAGAAATTTTTCTATTAAAAATTTATTCTTCAAATAATTTTTAAAGTTTTTTAAAATTTTAATTTAAATTGTATTGATTAAAATAATTTTTATTTTCAATACTATAAAATTAAATACAATTTTAAATTATTTTAATTTTATTAAAAGCAGTGAAAAAATTAAATTGAATTGAATAAATAATAATTAAAAATTTATAAAAAGATATTTTAATACAGGAGAACACGCATAGTTGGATGTAATTATAAATTTCAAAATTTATTAAATCTAAATATTATAACCGTCGAAGACGGGTGCGACAGCTAGTATTTATTTAATATAAGATCAAATCTTGTCTTCGAATAAAAAATATTAGATTTACACAAAGTGGCAGCTTTAAAAAAAGAAATTAAATTTTTTTAGAAGCTGCAACTTTGTAAATGTAATATTCTTTTTATTTCTTAAAAAAACAAGATTTGGTCTTTTCTTAAATATTTTGCTGTTTTTGATTTCAAATGATCAAATTAGAAAATATCTTGCTTACACAGACACAATTTCTAGAAAAACAGTGGGAAAATCGTTGCAACAGCCACGAAAATCGATATTTTTGCAAAATTATAAATATTATTTATTTATTATTATTTTAAAAATATTTTACTTTGAAAGTTACATAATCTGATGCAAAAGATTCCATTTTAATAAATTAAAAACTTTCTTATTTTTTATTGAAGTATAAAAATAATTTTTTCAAGACAAATTAATTTATTATTTTATACTTCGCAGAAATATAACATGGGAGGAAGAAGATCCAACACAAATCAAGAGAAAGTAAGTTATCATCAGTTCAATTTTATAATATAATAATTTTTTAAAAATTTCTAAAGATTTCTTTTATGCAGGAAAATATGAATGCTCAAAAAGTGGAAGATCTGCGGCTTCAAGCAGAACAGTTGAAGCAACAGCAGGAACAGTTGCGTCAGCAACAGGAGCTGTTTCAGCAGCAACAGGAGCAGTTTCGGCAGCAGTAGGAACAAATGCGACAGCAGCATCCAAATGACTAGCAACAGCCGCAGCATCAGATAGAACCGCTGCCTTCTTCCTCACAGCAGCCGTCCTTCGCGTCGCAGACGTTTTTCGCGCCACAGCCGCCCTTCTTGCAGCAGCCACTACAGTTACCACAGCAGCCGTACCCGCGTACTTATACCGTACCCGCCTATCAACAAGGCCAATACTGGCCACAGAACCAATCACCAAAAGAGCCCTTACAGCAGGAGTCTTCAGTAGAAGAGCTGCAGTCAAAAAGGCAGCCACTCAAACAAAATTCTCAACAATATGTGAGTATAATTAATTTAAAATTTTCGTATATGAGGCATTTTACGTGTAATGTCCTGAGTTAAAAATTGATTTCTCGAAAAAAGTAAAACTTAGGAAAATTGTAAAATATCCCCAAAAATGTTTTTGACTTTTTTGAAATTTTGGGGGAGATAGAGAGGGGTCAATTTTATCAGTTTTCCCTGACACCTCTTAATATTTGATTTTTTTCTGTCTATAAATGCAATCTAAAAAATTTTATCAGGTATGTTTTTTGAAGGTTTTTTCATGCACTTTCCAATAGTGAATTTAGTTTTTTAAAATATTTGAATTTTGACCTTGATTTTCTATAATTAAACATAACTCTGATATTTTCACTGAAATCGATGTGATTTTTTTAAAAATAAATAATTACAAACGAAATATGAGGTTTTTTCCGATCTGTATATAAATTTTCAGAATGCCGATTTTTTTTGTTTTCGAGATATTAAATACTAAAGTCGACCGCCGCGCGCGCCGACATAAAATCTTTGACATTTAATATCTCGAACACAAAAAAATCGGCATTCTGAAAACTTATATACAGATCGGAAAAATCCTCAGGCTTTGTTTTCAATTATTTATTTTAAAAAAATCACATCGATTTTAGTTAAAATAGCAAATTTATGTTTAATTATAGAAAATGAAGGTCAATATTCAAAAATTTTAAAACACGAAATTTACCATTGGAAAAAACATGAAAAAACATAACTGCCAAAATTTTTATATTGCATTTATAGGCAGAAAAAATTCAAATAGTAGATGGTGGCAGGGAAAACTGATAAAATTGACCCCCCTCTATCTCCCCCAAAATTTCAAAAAAGTGAAAAAAATTTTTGGGGATTTTTTATTATCAGGTAGGACAACAAGATTTGGTACCTCGAGTTAAAATTTTGAAGTTGTTAAATATCAACTTCAGTTTATTCTTATCAGTGGAATTTGATATTAAAAACTTTAAAAGTTTGTAACTAGAGGCCAAAACTTATTGTGTAAGTTAAAGTATAGACACTCTATCCAGAGCCACAGTAATAATTACACGATCAAAAAAAAAAAAATCAAGCAATATTAATTCAATAAAAATAATAATAAATTAATTTGTTTTAGCTATTGAAAAAATTGGAAAGGAGAGTAATGGACCTGGAAAAAGATATAAGAATTATTAAATTAGATATGCGGAAAATGGATGAAGAACGGGCGAGACAAAGACATCGAGAACGGGAAAGAGAAATTGAACGTGAGAGACAAAAGACGAAAGAAATGCAGAAGGAGTTAGAGAGGGAGACCGAAAAATTGAGGAAAATGAGAAAAGAATATTAATTTATCATAAATTTTGCATTTAAAAAAATCATTTCAATGATTCTAACTTAAAATTAATAAAAATCACTTGAAGTAAAGTATTTTAGTTTATTTTAAGCCTTTTTTCATAATATACATTTCCTTCGTAAAAAATTGAAATTTGTTTATTATAAAAAAATGCAAAAAGTACTTTTTAACCTTTATGAAAATTTATTATTGAGTTACTTTTTTTAAAAATTATTAAAATTTTAATATTGAAAATATTTCAAAATCATACTTATATTTACCTTCTTGAAATTAAAAATTTTCTAAGTACCATTGATCTAAGTTAATATTTGTAAAAAGTGATAGTTAATAGACCAATTAATTTCAGAAAAAAACATTTTTAAACTTAAAAAAAATTTTTTAAATTTTATTTTCCACTTTTATTTTATTTTTTTCACAATTCCACAATAAACAGAAATTAAATTAATTCAACATTTATAATTTAAAAAATGGTTGTTTGCTGAATTTTTCCATTTTTCAATAAAAAAAATTTATTTAAAATTAGAAACAAAATTTAAATCAATAAAAAACACTTTTTTCTACTAAATCTGACCTAACAACAAAATAAGCAATCAAAATAAATCCAATTAAATCAACATTTCTAATTAAAAAAATTGTTGTTTGCTGGATTTTACCATTTTTCAATAAAAAAAAATTTATTTAAAATTAGAAAAAAAATTTAAATAATTTGAAAATACTTTTTTCTAATAAATCTAACCAAACGACAAAATCCACGATCAAAGTAAATTCAATTAATTCAACATTTATAATTTAAAAAATGGTTGTTTGCTGAATTTATCCATTTTTCAATTAAAAAAATTTATTTAAAATTAGAAAAAAAATTTAAATAATTTGAAAATACTTTTTTCTACTAAATCTAACCAAACGACAAAATCCACGATCAAAGTAAATTCAATTAATTCAACATTTCTAATTAAAAAAATGGTTGTTTGCTGGATTTTTCCATTTTTCAATATAAAAATTTATTTAAAATTAGAAAAAAAATTTAAATAAATTAAAAATACTATTTTCTAGTAAATCTGACCTAACGACAAAATCTACGATCAAAGTAAATTCAATTAATTCAACATTTCAAATTTAAAAAATGGTTGTCTGCTGGATTTTTACCATTTTTCAATATAAAAATTTAAATAAATTAAAAATACTATTTTCTAGTAAATCTGACCTAACGACAAAATCTACGATCAAAGTAAATTCAATTAATTCAACATTTCAAATTTAAAAAATGGTTCTCTGCTGGATTTTTCCATTTTTCAATAAAAAAATTTATTTAAAATTAGAAAAAAAATTTAAATAAATTAAAAATACTATTTTGTAGTAAATCTGACCTAACGACAAAATCTACGATCAAAGTAAATTCAATTAATTCAACATTTATCATTTAAAAAATGGTTGTTTGCTGAATTTTTCCATTTTTCAATAACAAAAATTTATTTAAAATTAGAAACAAAATTTAAATCAATAAAAAACACTTTTTTCTACTAAATCTGACCTAACAACAAAATAAGCAATCAAAATAAATCCAATTAAATCAACATTTCTAATTAAAAAAATTGTTGTTTGCTGGATTTTACCATTTTTCAATAAAAAAAAATTTATTTAAAATTAGAAAAAAAATTTAAATAATTTGAAAATACTTTTTTCTAATAAATCTAACCAAACGACAATATCCACGATCAAAGTAAATTCTATTAATCAACATTTCAAATTTAAAAAATGGTTGTCTGCTGGATTTTTCCATTTTTCAATAAAAAAATTTATTTAAAATTAGAAAAAAAATTTAAATAAATTAAAAATACTATTTTCTAGTAAATCTGACCTAACGACAAAATCTACGATCAAAGTAAATTCAATTAATTCAACATTTCTAATTTAAAAAATGGTTGTTTGCTGGATTTTTCCATTTTTCAAAAAACAGAATTTATTTAAAATTAGAAACAAAATTTAAATCAATTAAAAACACTTTTTTCTACTAAATCTGACCTAACAACAAAATAAACAATCAAAATAAATCCAATTAAATGAACATTTCTAATTAAAAATGGTTGTTTGCTGGATTTTACCATTTTTCAATAAAAACAAATTTATTTAAAATTAGAAAAAAATTTAAATAATTTGAAAATACTTTTTTCTACTAAATCTAGCCAAACGACAAAATCCACGTTCAAAGTAAATTCAATTAATTCAACATTATAATTTAAAAAATGGTTGTTTGCTGAATTTTTCCATTTTTCAATAAAAAAAATTTATTTAAAATTAGAAAAAAAATTTAATTAAATTGAAAACACTTTTTTCTAGTAAATCTGACCTAACGACAAAATCTACGATTAAAGTAAATTCAATTAATTCAACAATTCAAATTTAAAAAATGGTTGTTTGCTGGATTTTTCCATTTTTCAATAAAAAAATTTATTTAAAATTAGAAAAAAAATTTAAATAATTTGAAAATACTTTTTTCTACTAAATCTAACCAAACGAAAAAATCCACGATCAAAGTAAATGCAATTAATTTAACATTTCTAATTTAAAAAATGGTTGTTTGTTGGATTTTTCCATTTTTCAATAAAAAAAATTTATTTAAATTTAGAAAAAAAATTTAAATCAATTAAAAACACTTTTTTTACTATATCTGACCTAACAACAACTTCATATACATACCAATTTTACATAAATTAAACTTTAATATTTTAAACAATTTTAAACAATACTTAATAATAATAATAATATAAGAAATAAAATAATTTCTTTTGTACATTAAAATTGTAAAATGATGTAATAGTAAGCATAAAAGATTTATTTTTATTGTGTAATTCAAGTTTTAATTAATAAAATAAATTTTTTTCATTTAAATATTTATTAGTTTATAAGTAATTAATTTAAATATTATATTTTATTTTTAAAATAACAAGAACGTTAAATTTCTATAAATTACAAATTTAAATAATCGCGCGCTATATCAACCCGGACCAATCAGGTGATTTCTACTGAATATTTGTTATAATCGATTCGGCTGTAATGTAACAGTTGTAATATTATTAAAACGCCTCTTTAAATTTTTTACATAAATAAAAATATCATTGTATATTAAATTAATATTATTTCCGTCTCTTTTGTAAAATGCGATGATTTACTTTATTTTGATACTTGTCACTGCTTATGATTCGTCATTTTATGTTACCGACCGCTTGTACTATGCCGCGAGAGGCGCTGCTGCAATCTTCTTCAATAATATTAATTACATAAATATTAAAAAAATAATTTTTTTCAACAAAATATTGTTAAATAACCAGAAATCAATATATAAGTTTACACTTTTTCATCTCCAAGTATATTTTTCAGAAATATTTCACCGTTTAAGAGTTATTTTACACCAACCAAAACTACTTGATTTATCGATTGATTACACTATCCATTTTGCGGCTGCGTGTTCAATCACTAAAATCAATAAAAAAAAATTTTCAACTAAATAAAATAAAATAACCAGGAATCCCTGTGAAAAGTCACCCTTTTTCATCCCTGAAAATATTTCTTTAAAATATTTTACCGTTGATGAGGAATTTTACACTAACCAAAACTACCTACATATGTTGATTAATTACCACCAGTATTTTCACACTACGGGTTCAATTTAAAAAATCAATAAAAAATTTTTTCAACAAAATATAAAAAACACACCAGAAAACCCTTGAGAAATATGTTCTCTTTCATCTCTCAAAATATTTTTAAAAAATTCCATTCCATTTAGGAGAAATCTTACACCGAAGAAACCAATCAATAATAAATAAAAAAAATTTTTTTTTAACAAAATATAAAAAACACACCAGAAAACCCTTGAGAAATATATTCTCTTTAATCTCTGAAAATATTTTTAAAAAATTCCATTTCAGTTAAGAGAAATCTTACACCAAAGAAATATCGATTTTTTTCTTTTTATCATGTGATCACTGAATAACATGACCTTAAGTAAAAAATCAAAAAATTGTAAAAAAAGTTTTTATTACTTACCTGTAAATTAAACAAGTCCGATCAACAATTTATTAAAATCTGAAGAATATTTCACTTTACTTTAATATTGAGGTTATTAAATTTTATGTTTACAAATTTAAGAAGAACATACTTTAATTTCGATCAATCATTAAGTTTTAAAAACTATGATTATTATTTTTTTCCTCAGTCAAATTGTTGACACTTAAAAAAACAATCGACTGGACCTTGTTTGACATTAAAATGAGCTAAAAATTATCATTTTTTGAGATGCAACGCTTTTTGATACCTCTAGATTTACTGTGATTAGAAATTGGACTTCTCACGAATGATGGGAAATGATAGTTAAAACAAATCTACGCGATGAGCTTTTTTTTCCTGAACGTAATTCTTCAGTTTCCGATCCTTTCTTACTTCACCCCTTTTTATTACGTATTCTGGGCCTAACAATCTTACATGCCCACGACAACACAACATCAAAGTTGTAATTGTCGCAAATGAAAAAGGGGTAAAAATACCCAAAATCAAAACATTTTCCAACAAGGAAAATTCATAAAATAAATCCAAAAAGAAAAACAACAATTCTTTCAATAATAATTTATGCTTGATTTTATTAAGTGCATATTATTATATTTGGCTATAACTGTTAACAGAAAACGAAAACTCAGCATTATTGGCATAGTAACAGGCCCAGAGCTCACGCCTTATTCACGTGTTAAAAACCCTTAGTCCACAAAATTTTCCCACCTGAAGTCTCTATACGTTCATATAAAAGAGCATCGCGGAAGTCAATTAATTGCTGTACAACTCTCATTCGCGAGTCAGCTCTGAAATTTTTCAGAGGCATAAAAACGATTTCGAGACGCCGGGACTAAGCCCGTCCGTGAGTCGGATTTCCAATTTTTACAATCCACTACATAGATAGTGATTAAAATTGGACGGACGTAAAGTTAAAATGAATACTTCACGCCGACGAAGTCCAACGGAAATCGTCTTTA